ATTCTAAGAAGGTGAAGCGAATGAAGAAATTTGATCAATCTATTGAGTCGGAGATTATTAGAATGCCAAAGGAGTTTAGCTACAAGGAGCTGAAATTTGCCACTAAGGGGTTCAGTGCTAATAGGGTCATTAGTCATGGTGCTTTTGAGACCATGTACAAGGGTGTGCTGCATGAGAGTGGTGACACTGTTGCGGTGAAGAGGTGTAATCATAGTGGTCAAGGTAAGAGTGAGTTTTTGTCCGAGTTGTCTATAATTGGGAGTCTCAGGCATCGTAATCTGGTTCACCTTCAAGGTTGGTGCCATGAGAAAGGTGAGATTTTGTTGGTGTATGACTTGATGCCCAATGGGAGTTTAGATAAGGCTTTGTATGAGGCTAGGATGCCTTTGTCATGGCCTCACAGGCTCAAAATTTTGTTAGGTGTGTCATCTGTGTTGGCCTACTTGCATCACGAATGTGAAAACCAGGTAATTCATAGGGACATTAAGACTAGTAACATTATGTTAGATGAAGGGTTCAATGCTCGGTTAGGCGATTTTGGTTTAGCAAGACAAACACAACATGATAAGTCTCCTGATGCCACTGTGGCTGCCGGAACAATGGGGTATCTTGCCCCAGAGTATGTTCTTACTGGAAGAGCAACTGAGAAAACTGATGTGTTTAGCTATGGTGCGGTGGTTCTTGAGGTGGCCTGTGGGAGGAGGCCTATTGAGAAAGATGCCGCTGCAAATGGTAAAGTTGGGGTTAGCAGCAATTTGGTGGAACGGGTTTGGAGTTTGCATCAAGAAGGTAAGTTGCTAACGGCAGCTGATCCAAGACTTGAAGGTGAGTTTGAAGAAGGGGAAATGAGGAGGGTACTCTTAGTTGGGTTAGCTTGTTCACACCCAGATTCAATGGCAAGACCAACTATGAGGGGTGCAGTTCAGATGCTTCTTGGAGAGGCTGAAGTGCCTATTGTCCCTAGAGCCAAACCGTCTACTAGTTACAGCACTTCTCACCTCTTATTGAGCCTGCAAGATAGTGAATCTGACTGTAATAATGCTATGATCACCATCTCTACCTCCTCTTCAGAGAACACCCTCAGTGACAGACATATACTCTGATAGAAGTCTAGAGCTGGAATCTTGCAATTTTTTAATTATTTACCAAAAATGTAGATACACCGATATTTATTCTTTGGTTCATGTATGTAAACGCCAATAACATTACAATTAAAGGCCTTGAGAAAGGAAAGAATTTTGGGGATTGAGCAATTTTGCCTGTAGCATTCACAGTTTGTAATAGAGTGATTCTGTTGTACATTTTTTTTGTATTAAATTAAATGGATCTGGGTGCAGAGAAATGCAAGATGCTGGTGTTGAATTACAGCAATTACATGCAATCTAGGGAGGGTCATTGATTTGCATATATTGTTGTTCATTTATTCCACTTCTAATTCGTGTGCAGTAGGTGAGAGCAAGTTGGAATCAACTAACTGATGCTAAACAGCAATATCTCTGTAGCCTTCCTTTTTCTAGAAATCCAGGATTTGTACTATATCCTCCACTCATAAAAAATGGCAATTTTATTCCGTTTTCTGTTTTGATGTAACCTATATTTTAGTATCATGTTGAGGCACCAAGTCTTTTACAAATTTGTCAAATTCATTTGTAGAGTTTTATGTAAGCATACATATCTATTCAAATACATTTTTTTTATCCTGGAGCTTGACTGGGAGCTTCTGCATATAGCTTATATATTACACATGAACTCCTGCTGACATATACAAAAATCTAGAGTAAGGAACCATCACCGAATTTTCAATTTCAACTTTGTAATTAATTTCTAGTCACATTTGAAGGTGCTTTTATCCTTGTTTAGGTTGCTATCCATGCTTCTCTGTGTGATACTATTACAACTCACCATGGCTGCAAGTCTGTCACATTGACTTTTCTTGCAATTTTTGGATGGTGACATTGGAACTGTTTGTTGGCACATAAGAGTGAGAATCATTTACTACTTCAGCCTTTCTTTTTTTATTTTTTTTATTTGCTTTGTATGATGGACAGCTGGATTAGAACGTTCAAGTTGTGTGCTCATGCTAGGACCCTTGTAAAGGATTAGAACGTTCAAGTCTTTTAAGGCATACTGTGAGGAAGAGTTGTAGCTTTTGATAACTATTGTAAACAGGTTTCATTCTCTCATAAATTTTTGGGAGACATACGCATAATTTGAACTTAAAACAATAGGATTAGGACAAGTGAAGATAAATATAATCCATGTTCATAAAACAAAGTGAACCAGACTTACATAGATAATCGCGTCTAGAATTTTGCCTCGGATCAAATTAACAACTGAATCTGATAGGCTTGACTCAATAAAACGTACACACTGCCCAAATCATACATTAAAAAAACTACTAGGCAGGGATAGGCACAACACACTCTTCAAGCTAACTCTAGCAAACACCATTCATCTTGTCATTGAGCTTCTTCCTCTCCAACACAAACTTCTTCCAAACCGCAGTGATTTCCCTCTGTGTCTCCAGAGCACTCTTCTTAACCACTTTGCCATTTTCTTCTGTGTTGACTGCCACGGTGGTGCTACTGATCACCCTTGCTGGAAGGCCATCAAGCTCATGCACCACCTTTTCCACATCTGCCACCAGACGCTCTGCAAGAGTTCTTGAAAAGTCCTCCCTGATGACAACACGAAGCACTGTAACATGTTGAGCATCTGGGGGCATGGTGTATGCTGGCACAATCCATCCAAAACGTCTCAGCAGGTCAGAGATTTGAAACTCGTCAAAGTGAGTGTGGTCTTTCAGGGTGAAAGCAACCAAAGGCACACCATTGTCTTTGGACACAATGGCAAACCGCCCTGTCTTCTCGAGTCCCTCTTTCAGCACCAACATGTTGTCTCTGCAATTTTCCATCACGTTTCTGTAGCCCTGCACACACATTCACAACATCAAGTCTGTAGAGAAATATGCTATTTCTATGGGAAATGCTAGGAACACTCTTTTGAATACACTATCCATTATTCGTTGAAATTTACACAAAAATTAAAATTGTAAGTGAAACTCGTTAAACAAGAAATAAGACCCACCAAATTTTGGATTTTTAATAAATTTCAACAGTGAAAGAGAGTTCTAAAACAATGTATTACAAGTAAACCTCTTTTGTTCATTTTTGTAATGTAAATTAGAGGAATTAGGGTAACCCCACTGCAATTATAACTGGGTCACTTGGTTAAACTTATTACCTCAAAACCAAGGCGAATTAGTTGGTAGTATTGAGCAATGACTTGGCTGGAACCTGCATTGCATAAACCAATGAAAGTTGGGGGTAAGAAAGTGTAAGTAAATAGAACTTGTTGGTAGTACTTAGATAGAGTAAAACAGGATAATTCAATTATGTGTTACCTTTGGAGAAGTTAAGTGTGAAGGTGGGTTGATCAGCTCCGAGATAGTTGATATGGAAGATGAGTTCTTCAGGCAGGTCCTCCTTGCTCCTCCAGATAACCCAACCGATTCCAGCATACACCAAACCATATTTGTGTCCACTAACATTGATGCTCTTCACTAGTGGTAATCGGAAATCCCACTCAAGCTCTGGGTAAATAAATGGAGCAATGAATCCACCACTGGCTGCATCAACGTGAATAGGAGTTTCCCACCTACCAAACAATTTCACATGTCAGTTCAAAAATCTGCATGCATCAGAGTTTAGTAAGCCATTATCAGTACAGAAAATTTCATACCCTCAATCAATCAGAAGATACTGAAGGAAGGTGCAGCATATTCAATCTAAACATGATGTTTAAAGCAAGGAACATTTAAAAATAGGGAGAGTAAAAGAGAAAGAGTGGTACCCAGTTTGCTTATTCTTTTCAATAAGAAGATCATTGAGGCGTTTGACATCCTCAAACTCTCCGTTTAGTGTGGAACCAAGGATAGCAGCAACACAAATAGTGTTCTCATCCACCAATTCCGCAGCCTGGTCAGGGTCCATTACATAGTATCCATCACGCAGCTTCACTTCCTTCAACTCCACCTCGAAGTACCTTGCGAATTTCTCCCAGCAAACCTTTAAACCAACAGAACCAAAACTCTTACCAATTCCACACTCAATAGAACAAAGCTAGAACTTATTGCATGTCAGTGATTTTCCTGAACAATGAAAATTTTTGAAGTGTACCTGAACGTTGGCTCCGGTGACAATGTTGGGTTTGTCATAAGGCTTTCCCTCTGCTTTCCTTCTGTTTTGCCACCTCCTTTTGAAGGCCAATCCAGCCAACATTATGGCCTCTGATGAACCGACCGTGCCAACACCAACAGCAGTTTCAGATTCTTCAAGTGGTGCATTAAAAAGATGAGCTATCATGTTCACACATCGGTTCTGCATGCATACAACAAAGAAATTAATCTCCATAAAAGACCATTAATTTTGCTTAGCACCCTTCAACCATAAAACCACCAACTAATCCTATTTTTCTTTCTCAATTCTCATGTATAATCCTGCTATTTTTATAATGCGAATTATATAGTCTTACAGTTGCAGCAGCTGTGGAAATCATAAATATAAAATATTTTTAATCTTCTTCAGAATTGATAATGTTACAAACTTTAGTTTTTAATTAAAATACTTCAAAATCACTTAATCTTTTTCTATTCCTATAGACTAAATTCATGTATATATATAAGAACTGAAATAGATGTTTTCAAATTATGGAAAGTACAAAATAAAGTCTATTTTATTTTATGGAACAGATAAATAATTAAAATTGTGTTTTTTTTAATGAACTTTACTTTCAATCCATCAGGTGTTTCACTCTGTCATACTGACTTTTCCTAAAATGAAACAGTGATGGATTGAAAAAATATTGGTGAAATTAATCTAAATTGTAACTTAGAGACACTCTTATTCAACCCGATCTAGTTCATTAAAAGTGCAACCTTTTCCTTAAGATTACATATGTTTTTATTTTCTGAAATTGTTTTAAAATTCTTTTTGACTTTTAAAACATTAGTTTTTGTCTATGTAGTATTTGAAATGAAAAACAAAACCTACTTTTAACATAAATTAAAAAAGAATTACCTTTAAAGTTTAAATTTCTTTTTGACTTTTAAAAGATTATATATATATATATATATGTGTGTGTGTGTGAGCTTTAACTATTTTTTATTAATAAATATTACAATATTTTAATATATTTAAAATAAAAAAAAAAGTGATATGTATAATGAAGGCACTGCTGTATTAATCTTCAACTGTGCGTTGCACTGTCTTTTTCAAATGTGGAGTATCATTAATTTAAATTATATATAATTTATCAGAGGAAATTGCTATGCCTTTAAGGGATTTTTTTAATTAACTTTTTATGAAACTTTTGTCTTTTTTTAAGTTATTTTTTGGTACTATGATAAGAGTACCATAATGTTCTAATTAAATTATTATTTTAGTGTGATAAATAACTAAAATTTCTAATATCATATCTTTTTTTTATTTCAAAAGTACAATTTTTTAATGAATTATTTATAAACAGACTTCAGTTATTATTAAAAATCATATTTTTATAATTTATTATTTTCTAAAACAGGAGAAAAAAAATCTTTTCTTACACTAAACATGGTTGAAGGGTAGCATGCCTGTCAAATCATGACACTGCACGTGAAACTTTCAAACATACCATTAATTTCAGGAAAAGGGGAAGCAACCATGGTGAGAAGACCTCAACTTTTTATTTTGTTTCACTTCCTTTAGATTAAATAAATTAAAAATACAATTTTTTAAAAGTTTTATTTTCTCTTCCAATCATGACATTAATTTTCTTCAAGCTTTATCATCATGAGGATGGGTCATTTCAAAAGAATAGTGAAAGCCCATTGTCTCTGAATGATTCCGAGCAAGATATCACTAGTAAAGTACTACCATTTTGTTTCCAAAAAAATAGTCCAAGTCAATATCTAAAGAAGACTATTTGAACTACTTTAAAGTGATATTTTTTAATAATGAAAATCTTAAAATAAAAAAATACCATCTTCCTAAATTATTTATTGTTTTTTTGTAATTTGTATGATCATTTGAAGAGGTTAAAATTACTATATAATTGAGTTAATAAATTGTTGATTAATACCTAATATAGATTTGGTAAGAAAATTTTGAAAGAGGAAAAGAATATTCAGAGCGTTTGAAGAAAAAGATCCCAGTAGGTTTTCTCAAGACTTATTTTCCTACCAGAAAATTGTCCCAAAATTATGAGGGTCTCTTTCAAACACGTGCCACCCAAAATTATCAAACCATTAGTTTTTTATTTCTACTTCATTCACTTTTTTTGTGTGGTCCTTTTAGGTCGAATTACTTTTTTATATATATATATAAAAAAATTATCAAATAAAAATAAATAAAATTATAAAAAAGAATGATCTAGACAAAGCGAATTTGTTGGGAAGGAAAAAGCTAAACAAAAGGCTTGATTTGATTATCTGTAAGTATCGTAAAGTCATAAACCAAAAGAGACTATTTATATACCGACAAAAAAAAATAAGTCTCTTTCTTTTAACCTCAAGCATTTCTCACCAAAGAGCAAGAGATTCAATTTTCGTAAAGCTGATAATATCTTTTTAAGAAAAGAATTTCCCTTGATAAATTATTATTATTTTTAAGTAAAAGAAGATAATTAATCAATCTTTAAAAAAGAATAAAATTAATTAATTGTTAAAAAGAGTGAAATTAATTAATAAGGTGGCGTGATTGTTGCGCGTGATGGATGGGAAAATTCTAATTAACTAAAGGTTACGGCAT